GCGAATGTCACGCTTGAGCTTTGAGCTTTGATTCTATAGACTTGACTTGACAATCGGCAATTATCATGCGATTCACGAAACTCTCATCTTTGTCATTGTCTTTGTATTGCACATATCCGAGGCTGTAAGTGGCTATGATAGTCAGAACCCCAAGGCCGAAGAGATCTGGCCCCATTGCCAAAGCTGAAGCCAGGCACTACCGCCTACAGGCAACTCCAACCGGACTACCGGACTCCAACCACAATTTTGTGAGTCACAAGTCACGGCGATCGCAGTAATCAAGCCTTGGAGCAGCGCAGAAGTCGTCAGCGCCACGTCGGTGTAGCCGGAGTGCCAAACGGCGAGCGACTGCGACAGCTTGGCATACGGAAGGCCTTTCAAGTCGCAGCACATGGGGCCTCCATACGCACCCAATGTAACGGATTTCAGCTCCCCGTCTTCCACCACGCAATTGCTCAGGGGTTTGTAGAACTGGATCATGAATTCGAAATGATACAGTCCAGCTCCAAGGATTGTGTGGTGAGAGAGGTTGCCAGCCACTGGGCGAAAGAAACACGTTGTCGTCGTCGTTGGTTTACCTGTGGTCCCGGCTGCGCCGGCTTCGGTGGAATCTTTTGATGATCCTCTTGCAGCACTGCCTTTTGCCGAGCCTGCTGACGCACGAAAGTGCTCTGGAGCTCCCAAGACGGCCGGCACCGCAACACCAGTAGCACTCGCGAGCACCATCAGCTTAGTCGGATCTTTGAAGTTGGGTTCGCTGCCGGAACTAGCACGTGCGTCAGCATCAGCTTGAATCTGGACGATTTCTAGCGCGATGGGCTTCGTCGGATTCGTTTGCAAAGACTCATCGACAGCGAGAGGCAGTGGGTCACGCGGCGGGCCACTTTCACGAGGGCTTGCAAGCTGCTTCCGCTTCGATGGGGCCGATAAAGATTCTTCCATATCTGCTTCAATCGCATCGCGAGGTCGGGTAGCTGCAACAGCCGTGGCCGTGGCGGCAGGCGCCGGCGCTGCTGCAGGAGGTGGACACAAACCTTAAGCAACTTTGGCCATGTTACACGTCGCATCCTTGCTCCAAAAGCGAAACACTGACACACTACAGACCGGCTGAGTGCAGAGTGCAGTGCAGACATAGTCACGCCAGGGCTCACTGATTCACTGTCGGGGCGGGGTGTCAAGGAAACATGACTGGTTGAAAGCGGACGGGCATTGATTACACTGACACTAACATAACAAGCAGCGACTGCCCGGCCCTGGATTCATGCACTGGGTTCATGACATCTCTGATGTCTCACTGTCTCACTGTCTGATGCGGACGAAACGGCTGAAGTCTGGCGTGCTGGAACTGAAACTGAAACTGTCGGGTCCGTCCCGGTCCCGGTCCCCGTCCCCGTTGTTGCCAAGGATCTTCGTTGTTCTGCCAGCGAGTCACGCAGATTGCGGCAGCAGTCCTTCATCATCGTGGCGTCCAAAGAAAACACCACGGAAGCATCCGCTTTCGCAACCTTGTCTCAAAAGGACGCTCAAAAGCTCACAGACTCACAGCCGTGTTGCCCTACTAGATAAAGATGATCTGTCTGTCTGCCGGCGTAAATCATGCAAACTTTTTTGGGTTCAGGCCGTTCAGGCGGTTCAGGGTTTAGTTTAGGGATATAATATGAAGTCTGAACAAGCAGACCTCACCTCACCCTGGCAACTGCACAACTGCGGGCATGTGGCGTGTGACATGTGTCGGTCGGTGTGGGCCAGTGTCCAGTGTGGGCATGCAAACTCAATGTCACTCAGTGTTGCCAAAAAGTACAGCACAGAATAATGAGTCGGTCAGTCTTCGAAAATCAACCGAGGACCGAGGCGACGACCTTTCAATATAATGTTTCCGCGACCCTGCCTACTGTGCAACGGTTTGAGGTCAGTTGCAAGCAAGCAACCGCAAGCATATATTCTATCAGCGCTACGGCGAAGGGCCCGGACGAAGACGAAATCACCGACGAGCTTGCCTTGGCTGCTGCCTCCGCATCCTGAATGGCCTGCATCTTTGAAGCCGACCTCTGCTCCATTTCCGCCTCCACGTTGGACCTTTTCCTGGTCCTGTCTCGCAGGCTCGCAGGATTGCAGCAACGCATACTAAGTATATACGTGTATTATATATATATATATATATTTTTATATATTTATATATTTATCCATTTATTTATTTCGTGTATCACTGGTAGCCACTCGCTTTTCGCCCCAAGTCACCGCACACCATGTAGATGTTGAGTTTCGCAAACTCCCATATTCGGTTAAAACAAACTTGCACCCGACCCGCCCCTGGCACGAACAGGCAACCACAACAAACTTCTTCAGACACCAGCCCGCAGTCCAGACTCAACATCCAAACAATCCAAACCAAATTGTGTAACTTTCCGCCCAATGCGCTGATCACCCAGCCGGTCCGGTCGGTCCTATGCTTGACTTTGATGTTGTCACGGTACACAAGACGAGCAAGCTCCGGCTCTGTGAGGCGTGAGAGATAGTCCCCATCCTTCAAGCCCAGGAGACTCCTGGGCCGCTAACTGCGTTGTGGCGGGGCGGGAACTGCATAACAGCGAGTGGGGCAAGGGGCAACAGCATTCCTGAACTTTAAGCATCAGTCAATGTCAGTCAATCAATCGAATCCAATCATCCAATTATCCAATCGAATCATATATCTCGAAAGCTCGAGACTCGGAAATAGGAGTCGAGTCGAAGCCCTAAGCCCAGCCAAACTGAAACCTAGACTCGGTTGGACGACGGGACTGAGGCACACGATTTCACGCGGAAGACGGAGGGGTTGTCAGAGGTCTCAAGCCCAGGCTTAGGTGTCATAAGCTGATGTGTCAGAGTCAGAGTCTCAAATTCAGACTGTCAGACAAGCAGCAGCACTACGCGCCGAAAGCCAGCTGTCAGCTCCATGCCGCTGAGGTCGTCTTGCAGCTTCCGGATCTCCTCCACTACTTCGTTACTCGTTACTTCATGATTAAGTTAAACGGTGATTACACGGTTACATGGTGTCCAGTGTCGTGCATTATTTTTTGAGCTTTGCATAAACACACGTTCGCAACACAAACTACTATCGAAGTACAACAGCTGAACAGCGTCGCAATGAGTCTACTGGCGCTGCCTGACAGCCTGACACAGTGTCTCAGAATTTGAGACTGAGAATCTGAAAATGACTGAGACATGAGAACTGAGAACTTGCAATTTTCGCCAATTCTGTTCATCAGCCCCGGCCCGGAACCCTGTTCCTGTGGCTGGCTCAGCACCAGGCGCTGAAGACTGCCCATGCGAAGCTCCAGCGACAGGTACGGCACAGAGGCCGCCGGCGCTTTGAGCTTCAGGCGGTGCATCCGGGCGTGCTGACCCTCCACATTGCGTTCGCTGATGCGAACGAGGCGAAACGCCGCCACCCATTTTCTGAAGCAGTGAATTTCCCGCATGCTGACAGAATACCCTTCTGTCTCCAGCTGGCACAGCGCTTCCTCTGATGTCGCGGCCTGCAATAGCTGTCTCACGGAGACACCTGCAACCAGAAGCTCGATGATCCCGCGCAACGGAGGTTCGCTGCCGCTAGCATCCAAGCCAGCCCACGTGGGATTCAGAAACCGTTGCGACTGCGCATGCAAAGCGCCCGGTGCTTCTGGAGCGGCGTCGTATTGACGCAAGGCCCGAAGAGCTACGGACCGCACCGTAGATGCATCAGGGTGAGCAAGACCACCTCAGCTCGTATTCGGATGCTATGCTGTGATCGGAATGTCCGTGACTGACTGACCGTTGAAAATTGAAACTTGAAACTGATAATCGCAGTCAGTCAGAGTCAGATCATCAGATCCTTTAGACCTGTTTTAGACGCCTTAGTAGAAGCAACTTGGCAAACGCAATCGGGCCACACAAAAGCCACGGTATTTCGCGCCAGTACATGAGCTTCGCATTGAGCTCTCCTTAGCATACAACCAAAGGCACGGGTTGAAGGGCTAACTTGGGATTTGGAGCTCAAGACTCAAGGGTTTCAGTTTCAGGGCCGTTCCCGGCCCGCCGTTCCAGTTCCGGGTTACAAGTTACAGAAGCACTGCCCGTCTGCTGAGCATGCTGCAACTGCAGCTCGTCATTCGCATGGGCCGGGCCAAAACTAGGTCTGCGATTGGAATCACTGTGCAACCAACCGCAACCTTGGCCTGCGAATCTGCGAGCCCCAGAGCTAAAGGCATCAGATTGTGATTGCAGCGCAGTCAGTCTCAGTCATTGCAAAGCAACCCGAAGCATTCAATCTCTCATGAATCCTCAAAAGTCCTGAATCCTCCAACAGGAATGACGGCAGCACGGGTTGGGGCTTGAGCTGCGGCAGGATGTCGGTGAGTCTGAATCTGATGATGATTAGACTAGATTCGATTCGACTAGATTATTGTTCTTCTTCTGAGTCACTCAGTCACTCACAGTGACACCAGGAAACCGCCCATGCGCTTTAAATTCAAACTGAAGTTGAAGGCAATGAAGGCTGCCGAGACCGAGACGCCCCACAAAGCTGCACGTGATGTGCACCAAGAGGAGTGGTACTCGACTCGCTTCTGCTCGTCCACAGCTTGTAAGTACTGGAGGAAGTCGAATGAATGTCCTTCTTTCTCGCACTCTGTCTCTCACTGTCACAATCGACTCATGCTCGACTCTCACTCATTGACTCTCTCACTCTCACTGACTCTCTATCTCTATCTCTATCTCTATCTCTATCTCTATCACTATCTCTCTCTCTCTCTCTCTGTGACTCTGTGACTCTGTGACTCTGACTCTCTGTCTGTCTCTCTTTCTCACTCGTCACTCCCTCTCTCAGTCTCTGTCTTTGTCACTCACACACACTGACACTGACTCACTCACACACTCTCTCTCTCTCTGTCTCTCTCTCTCTCTCTGACCTCTGTGCCTCTGACTCTCTGACACAACCTGCCTGTCGGGCAGCCGCCGCCGCGTGCAGTACTGTACTAGTTTAGTTACACAGCCCACATCGGCCGTCCTTGCATCACTGAAAGTTGAAGATCTAGTGCTTGCCCAGCAGACATCTCCGGGGCTCGCAGCCCCTTCAGGCTGCATTCAGCAGCGGCAGCGGAGTCACGACGACGACGACGCCGGAGCCGGCCCCGGCCCCGGCTGCCCCGGCTTTGACGTCCGTATGCAGCACAAAAGTCTGCTGAGTCACCGTCGGACTCCTCATCCTGAACCATATGCATCATAGAGCCGCGGACGCCGCGCTGAAGAAGCAAAGCTGGGCCCCTCTGATGTTCTGGGCAGGGGCAGCCCTCGGCCCATTTCCCGATAAGATCGGCCTCCTGGGCCACTGTTGCAACTAGAGCAATGCCTGCCCAGTCCTCAGATCTGTCCGTCAAAGCACAAAGAAACAATTGAAAAGAAATGAACCAAATAGCGCCTCGGGGAAGTGTGACCCTACTGAGCAAGATTCGGATGCTTTGTCTGGTTGTTCACTGCACATCATGAGTCATGACTCATGCAATTATAGAACTATTCATATAATCAAAGATTCCTCGTTGCTGCGCATGAGAGAAGTGATCTTCTCCAATGTCGCCTTGGAAGTCTCCTCAACCAGGAAAGGCTTCTTTGTAGCCGGGTTGGAACCTTGCAAGTATTTCCGTGGATCCCACGTCGAACGGAAAACCTCTTGGAGCGGAAGCACCTCGGATGGATTATAGGAACTTGTACGGTGTGTCTCTCGGATGTGACAGTGACACGAAGAATCTATCTAGCGGTCTGTCAAAACAACACCCTGCTTCCGAGTCCGGAAAGACTAATGCCTTCGGCAGCCAACTTCGGCAGTGCAGCAGCGCCACAGCGCCACACACACACACAGACACACGCACGACTCACGACGCACGACGCACGCACGCACGCACGTCCGATCCACAAAAAGCATTCAAAAGCTGCCAGGTGCTTTCAAGAGGCTGCCACGCAGAAGTTCGCAATGACCTCCCAACGTAATCCCGCCAGCTTGAGTTCGTTCCAGAGCTCAATCCGTTTTCTTGCAGGATGGCCTTCCAAGCAAAGGGCCACATACCGCTCGCGCCACGTGATCGTGCTGAGCAACTTGTCCAACGCGTGCAGCTTGAGCACGAGCGTCGGCCAACTTGGCTGAGAGGTTTTCGATTTGGCTGGCTGAAAGTCTGAGACTGAAAGGTTCTCGACTCAGTTGAGTTCGGGTTTGGTTCGGGCCCGCTACGCTTCGTAGACTCTGGGCGGGGATCTGCAAGGCAGGACGGACAAGGGATAAGAGGGAGATAGGGAAGACAGGAAGATGGGAGCCGGAGTTGAGTCGAGTCGAGGAGTCGAGGAGAGGAATCGAGGGTCGTCGAGGGTCGGAGTCGAAGACTCGAAGACTAAGACCTGATGCAGCCCAGATGCAAGCTCAATCGCTGGAGTGTTGCCGCGACAAGGTTGTCGCAAATGTGCTTAACTCCAGTCACTTTCAGCGCATTTGGCATGAGCCGCTCTTCCAGATGAGATGGTGGATACCTTGGACAGGCGGCGAGAAAAGAAGCAGTCAGTAGAGCTGCATGGCTGCTGACTGCTGAAGATTCTGAAGATGTGGTGCCAAGCTACTGAGCTCTCAATTGTCCACCATCACCGGAATCACCGTTGTCAGCATCACTCGAAAGTTGCGCAGACTGAAACGGTGGAGCTGGCGCAAGCTGCCATGCAGAGTCATCATCGTTCTCAACTTGATTCTCAATCGCGGCGAGGCCGTTCAATGAATGCAAAGTTCCTCTGGTTGCTGCCGCGACCCGGTCATCTGCTTCCATGTTTTGAAGTGCGGTTGAAGCAGCGTCAGCGAGGGCATCCTGACCCAAAGCCGCGGCTGCCTCCGCCAAGGCCTGGCTAACATCCTGACACATGGACGGCACGTCCACTGCAGTGGCATCAACCAAGTTGACCTCCGTTCCTCAGTCACAGGCTGCGAAGCGCCGAGGCGAGGACTGACGCCGTCGTATGCAATAATGACTCAAGCAATCCTGGAGTCCTGGACCCCTGAATGAACAAAGCTCAAATCCGAGCTGCCTTGGTCGCTCAAAGTAGAAATCACTTGAGCACAATATTGACGCAATGCAGTCCGCCGGTCCATGAAAGCCGTCTCGAGCATGAGAACGTGAGCCAAGCAATCAAGTTTGTTGTACAACGCTGTGAATCCTCAGCTGCATTGTTGACACCTAAATTGTTACTCTCTTTCTCTCCTCAGGGTTTAAACAGTTAAACAAACAGCAATCTGAATATGATGCAAACGCGAAATCCGCATGATACCATGGGTTGTGTCAGCACTGGGCCATCACTGAATCACCGCCCTGTTATATTCACAATTAAGTCACAGGTGCCTTTGCCAAGCGCCATCGGAGGAAGCAACCGTCGCTCCGGGGATAGAGGTGTCCTGACATCTGCCATTCTGGGCAAAAGGCTTCAGGGTTCCGGCGCGCGTTCTCGGATTTACGGGGCCTCTGACAAAGACTCGGATCATTGTCTTCCAGCGTGTCAATGTCGGAGTCGCCACCCGTCTCATACAGCATGAGACTTTCCTCGAGATGGCGCACGGCCTCGTCCAGCCTGTTCCACGGTGACAGTGACAGACGGGGTCGGTATAGTGGGACACAACTTGATACAACTGTCCAAATCGTAGTGTAACAACGGAGCACCAGAGCACCATCCTTGCCTGGTGCTGTACTCCTCGACCATAAACATCTCTTTGCCTTGAAGCGTTCCATCGTAACCTTTCAGCATTCAGCATCAAAGTCAGAGTGGTCAAACAGCTGTGGAATCTGTGGAGCTGTCATCGCAAGATCGATGCTATGACTCGGCCATGACCGACGACTTTAATGAGACTCCAAACTGAATCATGTCACAAGACCGCCGCAAGTATACTATCTGTATGTTTGCATGTCTGTCTGTTTGCTTGCCTGCGTCCCTGCCTGTCTCCGTGTGTCTGTCACACGTCATCCAACCTGTCTGAGCCCCGTGCTGAGGGAGATGCAGAATTTGTCGAAGCCATGCTGCTTCCAGTGATTTTGGCGAGCCAGCATGTGAAAGATGTCGAGCCTGTAACGAGCTCTGGACATCGTAGCTGCGCTTGGCATCGTGTCCACAACAGCGGCGGTGCTAGTCTCCGACGATGAACCCTTATCATGCCAAATCCCTGTCGCCAGTTCCATGGCCACTCGCATCACCGTCGCCATGCGGCTGCTGTCGCGGAGATTCACACTCCTCAGATGAGACTCGGTGCCGGCGCAGCTCAGCTGTCCATGACAAGCATTCAACGAGCCGCAGAATGTTCAAATCAGCTGTCACATGACTCACATGACATGAAACTTAAACTCGCCGCATCAATCCGATCCTGAAGAATATGCCTGCGCAGGCCAAGGCACAGCTGCATGAACTGGTAGAGTTGAGCAATCGAGAACGATGGTCTGCCGGCTTTGCCTGTTGCTTTGACAGAAGGGCGCAGTGCAGCAGCACTTGCCGCCAAGGTATTTCCAGGCCAGTTGGCCTTCTCAGCAGCCTCCGACGGCGTTGATGGATCAACAACGGCTAGAAGACAATGATTGATTGACTGTTCGCCGATTAACCGAATGATATCGACATCGATGTCGATATATTGCAAAATCCCAGAATGCAGTCTGTTCAACAACACCCGCGCCACCACCCAAAGAACGACTCTCTCGCGACTCTCTATACTGCCAGTCCGGAAGCCGAAGCCAAGCACAGAAGATCTTGGATGCACTTCGCAGCATCACGGAAAGCTGTCACCTGAGTTTGACTAGTCCGGCCGACGCCGCCCGCCGCCCAATGCCAAAAAATCATATCAAAGTGCGTTGGCATGCGTGCATGAATCCAGAGCAAAGCAACTTAAGCGACCTAATTCCAAACGGACACCGGATGTGCCGCCACATGCAGGCATGTGTACTGTCTGCAACGACGACGACTACTAAACTAGTACGATGATATCTCGGCGGATGCTGTTGATGGGCATTGCTCTACCTTGGGCTTTTTACAAGGAGTCTATGCGAGTTAACGCACGTATTGGCATCGAACGATATATAGGACCACATATGATCAAATTGCAGCGAAACAGCGAAACGTAACGGTTTCGTGATCCTCTGCTAGGACTTACAACTAGACCGGAGTAAGTAACCCGAGCGCTAGTGATTGCAGCTTGCACTATACACTATGAGTTAAGCCACCTAAGCTCCCAAGAACAAAAAGAAGAAACCCCGACCTAAAATGCGCACAGGCAGATACCATGTGGCTGCATGAGCCGGACTCCGGGCTGAAATTGAAGTCTGAATCGGACTCGTGATGACGATTGCTAGCACAGCGGCCTCTTCCAATGTTCCTGCTGACAGAACGGGCCGCGCAACGGACAGCAGAAGCTCATATGCCGTGGAGCATTTCGCACTGACCTGCGCCAGTCTGCGGCAGGCACTGACTAGGCACTATAGGCACTGGCACTATAGGCACTAGGCTGACGCCTTCACTTCACCCAAATCCGAATCCTCACTGCTGCAATAATGGTTTGCATCTCAAGCTGCTAACCGCTCACTGTTACTGGGGCTCGGCGAGCTGCAATGAATATGAGTCCGTCCGACCTCCGGCAACACATCTGTCAAGGACGTGCCCATTGCTGTTCACGTAGAGCCTTTCTCCACCGAAGCCTCATGATCATGCGAGAGTTAAGCCCCATCATGGGCCCCATCCCTTCAAGGAGCTGAGCGAAGCGATGCCTACATGCGGAGCAGTTGGAATTGGAACTATTGGAACTTGGAACTGGAACATCCCTAATTTCTTTCTGAATGGCACTGGCAGAGGGCACAATGCGAGCAGTACAGAAACTACAACGCAACCTAACATAGCACAAACGGCGGCAAGCGCATAGCACTGCACGGAATCAAGGAAGCGGCCCATGCCCAATGCCCATGTAGAGCTTTTCTCCACTGTGGCCTCAGCCGCGATCACAGCTTCAGCGCACAACCATGTTGCCATTACGCGGGCGGAACAATTAAACTGAAAGTACGCACTCACTGGCAGACGCTGGCACTCCCCACTCCCCATTGATCGCAGGATCCACGACCCAGTCACATCGGCACAGGGTTTAGAGTTTCGAGGGATGGCCAGGGCAAGAACCCACAGACGAGGCATGCTGAAGCTCGGAACCCGACGCCCGACAACGAAGAGGAAGTCACTAGTCACCTGCCCGCCGAGGGAGGGAGCTTCGAGGAGGTTGGGGGCTTTGGGGCTTCAGGGAATGGTCTTTCAAAAGGCTTGGGGGATCGGGCTGGGTGTCGGTTCGGGAGCTGAGGCTGAGGGTTCGCGGAAACGACAACCCAACCGAACCCCGAAAAACCAGGGGAATGGATGCACAGCACTGCAGCACGATTTGTTTTCAACCAAAAAAAGACTTGCGACATGTGAAACTCACCTCTCATGCTGCCTTCTATGTGGCTGCGCATTGGTGTCTGTGAGTGTTTGTGCTGCTATGTGTGCCACGTGTCACGTGTGCTGTTTGTGTGCTGTGTCTGCCGCTCACCAGGGCCCCCAGTGTGAGCTGCTTGTATCTGTATTGTCACCACTGCTTTCGTCACCGCTGCTGCTCACATCGTGCCGGTCATCGTCCTTCTTCTTGACATCATCTTTCTTCTCGATCGGCCTCTTCGAGCAGCACACGGCGATCCCTATCGGCTCGTACACATGCTCACGATCGCAACCAGACATGTGCTCCAACACTTGGCTGATGGTGCACTCAACATGTATCGACTGCGTCATGACAAAGCGCATGCCATCCAGCTGCGACACCTCCACACAGTTGTTCGCTGCATAGAAGGGAGTCACACACCAGTTGGGCACTTTAGCCTTCTTTCCGGCAGGGATCATCGGCTTCGTCTTCATGGCCTTCATCGCTGTCCCCTTCATGGCCTTCGCCTTCATCGCTTTCGCCGCCGGAGCCTTCATGGCCTTGCTGGCCTTCGCGACCTTCATGGCTTTCATCGCCTTGCTGGCCTTCATGACCTTCATGGCCTTCATCGCCTTCATTGCTTTCATCGACTTCCCAGCTGAAATGGAGGCGGGCTTCTTCATCCCTGAGCACCCACTTGCCAGGCCAACACCAGCAGGCTACCACCAGCAGTGCAAAAGGAGGCAATGGCGAATCTCAGAGCTACACTCGCCTCCTACACTCTGTGTCAACGTGCTGTGCTGTGCACTACCCTCGCTCACGAAGAGGATCCAGCTGACGGTTTAAACCCAGCTAATGTTCCCTATTGGCGGGTGAACAATCCGACACTTTGGGACTTCTGCATCTCAATGATAGGAAAAGCCAACTGAGCCAACGTCGAAGTATCAAAAAGCAACTTTTCTACGAATGCTTGGATGGCTTGCACTGCAAGGACGCGACCTATTGGTCGAGGAGCCCTTCTCCACTTCAGCCTTAGCCGGGATGGAAGCTCAAAACACAAACTTGTCGGGTTTGGGGTTGAGGCTTTAGGTTTTAGGGTTCAGGACAAGGGGGCGGGATATAAGGTCAAGGCATGGGGTTGTAGGTTTGGGGGGAGGTTAACCCCACTCCCTTTCGAGAAGCGAAACAATGCTTGCCCATGCGCAACAAACCTCGTGGTAATCGACTAATGACTATCCCATGTCCAAGTGCTGTTCACATGAAGCCCTTCTCCACTTCAGCCTGCCCTACACCCTAAACCCTAAAACCAGGCTTGCACTGCAAGGACGCGACCTATTGCTGTTCGCGAGGAACCCTTGTCCACTTCAGCCTCAGCCGGGATGGAGGCTCCAAACATAAACTTGTTGTTTTTTGGGGTTGAGGCCAGTTGAGGCTTTAGGTTTTGGGGTTCAGGACTTGGGGGCAAGGTTTAGGGTCAAGGCGTGGGGTTGTATAAGTTTTGGGGGAGGTTCACCCCATTCCCGTTCGAGGACAGGAGCGAAGCAATGCTTACATATGCGGAACATCCTTCTCTCTTAGGATCGATTGCTGTTGACATGGAGCCCTTCTCCACTTCAGCCTACCTAAACCCTAAAACAAAGCTTGCACTGCAAGGACAGGGACGCGACCTATTGCTGTTCACGAGGAGCCCTTCTCCACTTCAGCCTTAGCCGGGATGGAAGCTCAAAACACAAACTTGTCGGGTTTGGGGTTGAGGCTTTAGGTTTTAGGGTTCAGGACAAGGGGGCGGGATATAAGGTCAAGGCATGGGGTTGTAGGTTTGGGGGGAGGTTAACCCCACTCCCTTTCGAGAAGCGAAACAATGCTTGCCCATGCGCAACAAACCTCGTGGTAATCGACTAATGACTATCCCATGTCCAAGTGCTGTTCACATGAAGCCCTTCTCCACTTCAGCCTGCCCTACACCCTAAACCCTAAAACCAGGCTTGCACTGCAAGGACGCGACCTATTGCTGTTCGCGAGGAGCCCTTGTCCACTTCAGCCTCAGCCGGGATGGAGGCTCCAAACATAAACTTGTTGTTTTTTGGGGTTGAGGCCAGTTGAGGCTTTAGGTTTTGGGGTTCAGGACTTGGGGGCAAGGTTTAGGGTCAAGGCGTGGGGTTGTATAAGTTTTGGGGGAGGTTCACCCCATTCCCGTTCGAGGACAGGAGCGAAGCAATGCTTACATATGCGGAACATCCTTCTCTCTTAGGATCGATTGCTGTTGACATGGAGCCCTTCTCCACTTCAGCCTACCTAAACCCTAAAACAAAGCTTGCACTGCAAGGACAGGGACGCGACCTATTGCTGTTCACGAGGAGCCCTTCTCCACTTCAGCCTTAGCCGGGATGGAGGCTCAAAACACAAACTTGTTGGGTTTGGAGTTTGGGGTTGAGGCTTTAGGTTTTAGGGTTCAGGACAAGGGGGCGGGATATAAGGTTAGTGCGTGGGATTGTAGGATTGTAGGTTTTGGGGGAGGCTCAATCGCCCCATTCCCTTTGGAGGAGCGAAGGCAGCGAAGTGCGAAGCAATGCTCACAAATGCGGATCATCCCTCTCTTTTTGGATCGACATTCGCAGCCTGCATCGTAGGTGTGGCGGCAGGAACCTGCCACGTCGTCGGTTAAAAAACACCAGGAGTCGCCCCTCGCAGATGCTACGCCAAGTCGAGGGAATTCCAAGGCTCGAACCATGCTCGAACCACATGCTCTCGCGCCTGAGGCTCTGTGTGTAAGGAGCAGGCCTCTAGGGATTAGGAATGTAGGGTCCAGGGCCCAGGGGAATGGTCTGCAGTCTGCACCGCCGCAATGTCAGCAGCCGGAACAGCAACCTGGGCAGTAGAGGATGCCACTAGTCCAAGTGAGGTCGCACACGCTGGCACTGCAAGGTCAGGGCCGCCGATGCAACGGATGGCGCATTCTCAGGCACCGGGACCTAAAGCAGGGCTCACAGACAGACCCTCCCAGCGCACGAACCAGCCAGGGGCCAAGGGCCGGGCAACCGTCGAAGTAGGATGCGCCAAGACCTAACCAAAGCGTGTGTACGGGCAACAGAGAAGGGGTTCAAGGCCCAGACACCGGGAATCGGATGCACCGGTGGGTCGTCCGATGACACCTGTGCCAAGATGCCAGAGAAGTACCAGTCCAATGAAACGAATACAAGGCAGCGGCCATGTCTCTGTCATGTGGATGTTCATCAGGGACCTGAAGCAGGAGAGAACGTTCAAGCCACGGTACAGCAAGAGCCAGAGGGGATGCAGGGGAGCACGCCATGGCCTTGTCCTCGGTCGAGAGGTCGCCAACCTGGATCCGCAAGGTTGAAGGCAGCAGCATACCCCAAGGCTGCAATCGCATGTATCCGAGGTCTGTGCAGTCAATGCCGCCGACGACGAGGGCTCCTAGCAGACAGTACCGACAAAGGAAAGCAGCCAGACCGAACCCAACTCGGAATGCACAGCCTTGCAAGGATCAGGAGCATCAGCATCGGCCTGCTCAAGGTTCGCAATGGTACTCACAGCAAGAGTTCAGCGATCCGAGGCAGCAGCAGGATCGGCTATCGGTGCATGTCCAGCAGCGACCTGAGGCAGTGGAAAGGGCAACCCTAAAACCCACCTGCAGCACATCAGGCTCAAGGCCCAGACGCCATGCATCAGAGGGTCGTCAGATGAAGCCTGCGTCCAGATGCCAGAAGTAGCAGTGAAAACAAACGGGTCCAAGGCAGCGGCCACCTGGCCCAATGGTACTTCATCAGAGACCTAAGCGCAAGCAGGAGACACCCAGGCCAATCCGCGTGCACGAGCAAGCCAAACGAGCAAGCCAAGGGCTGGAAGAGCTGAAGCTGGGAACCCGACGCCCACCACCGAAGAGGAAGTCACCTGCCGGTCAAGGAGGAGATTGGGGGCTTTGGGATTTCGGGAACTTTCGGGAGGCTTGTTGGGGGGATCGGGCTGTGTTTGGGTTCGGGGGTTGAGGGTTGGCAGGCACGTCAACCAAACCCCAGGCACGACAACCGAAACCAACAAACACCCCGAATACCTAGAGGACGGAAGGGGGGAGGAGGCACTCCTACCAGGGGGCCGAAGGGGGTTAGGGCAGCCCTGAACCGAGAGGGGGGCGAGGCAACCGTAAGGGAGAGGGTAAACCCAGAGCGCAGCGGCCGTACTTTTGCAAAAAGACGACAGAAACTCACCCCTCGTGTCGATGTGAAACATCGGATGCCCTGTGAGCTGCTGTGTTCCCATGTTCCGTGCTGGTGTGCTGATGGGTGTGGGTGTGTGTGCCGCCTCCGTTTTGCTGCTACTGCTATGGCTGCTATGGTGTGTGTGTGTGTGTGTGTGTGTGCCGCCTCCGTTTTGCTGCTACTGCTATGGCTGCTATGGTGTATGTGTGTGTGTGTGTGCCGCCTCTGTTTTGCTGCTACGGCTATCTAGATCACTTCGTGGAGAGATCGTCCGTTTTCTTGTCATCGTCCTTCTTCGTGGACTCATCGTCCTTCTTAAGCTTCTTGGCCGGGGGATCATCGCTGTCATCGTGCTTCTTCTTGTCATCATCTGGGTCGGTGTCGTCGTCCTTCTTCTTGTCGTCGTCTTTCTTCGTGTCATCGTCCTCCTCGTCGCTGCCCAGCACCTCGCCCGTCTCCTCAACGGCGACAGCGATGGCGACTGCCCGCAGCACACGACGATCGCAACCTGGCGTCGTGGCTTCCGCCAAGAGACCTCGGATGCCGGTTTTAATAAGTGCAGTGCTTATGGGTTCCTGTGCTTTTAGATACATGAACACACATCAGCCAATCCATGCAAAAATCTATACAATGTCTATGTGTAAGCCCAGCAGCTAGTCAACGTGGCATCTGCCGGAATGCCAAACACCATGATCTCTTCGCCGTTGACCAGCTGCGTCACCTCGAACCTGCCAGGAACCCGCTGAAGCGGACCATAAGTCCAACGCTCCATAGGGCCATTCGGGCCCTCCATGCTGCTGGATCTTCGCCCCAACACTAGCCAGGTAAGTGCTGGATCTCCGCCCCAGCACTAGCCAGGTAAGTCCCCAACCAGCTGGATCTCCGTCAGCACTAGCCAGGTAAGCCCCCGAGCCAACAAGCCAGACCAGAAAGTCCCCAGGTCACACTCCAGGTAAAGCAAAAGCCCAGCTTGATAATGTCCCCGGACAGGTGATGCCAGGAGTAGGAGTCCAGTCGATCAAAGGCCCATCCAAATGAATGCCCTAACCCTGTGGGAAGGCTCCGAATGTGTCGAGCTGATGTTTCTAAGACCTAAAGGATTGATAGGCAATCGTACTGATAATCGAATCAAGCAAGCTTGGTCCACATGCGCTTCCGGTTCTCATCCAATGCACTTTCAACGGCATGTGATCCTGCACAGCACATGCCGGCACAGCACTCCCAAGCAAACTCATTCACCGGATCACCGAAACCCACGACAATCCCGAAAGAGTTGCACCTCGGAGGCAGGACAAGGAAGAGCTGCCGGTGTCGACGTCGAATCCTGGCACACCAAAGCAGACAAAGGCAGGAACAGAGCCCACTCGGCAACCAAAGGGCCCGCCTGATCCCAATGCACAACTGTCGCAGCCTAAACACCACCAACCCCCCAAACCCCTAAAGCCGCTCACAACACTTCAGAGGTC